AAAGATGGTTGAGTTTATGAACTGTAATGAAGGTGGGGCAAACTCTATTCAAATATTTGGGTGTCTCGGTTAGTGAGAATTAAATAGAAGAGTTACCATTCCTTGCAAACCACTATTTGTGCAAATGAAATCAAGTCTTTCAAGATGGATTAGCGAGCCCATTTCCTTTGGTAGTCTTGTTATTTTGTTGATTTCTACCCTCTCGTGTCTACTTTGTACCATCTTTCTACAAAGTATCTAGAAAAGTTACAGAGTGTCTTAATAAATTCAGAGTTTCTTTAGGATGGAAGTAACTGATAAAACATAAATTGGATTCAACGAGAACCTGTGTGTAAGGTTGAATCAGACATGGGTTGGGGAATTAAAGATTTTAGGAAAATTTAAGGTGGTATAATTAAGGAATGGAAGTGGAGATTGTTAATTGAAAAAGAGTGTATAAAGAGAGATTAGCAGAAGAATGGGAAATGGAAGGGATACAAAGTTCTGGGAAAGACAAGTGGATGGGGGGCAAAGATTTACAAAATAATTTTAAAAGACTTTTAAAAAAGTTATTAAGTATATTGAGAATACTAGTTAAAGAATAAAAATAATAAAAATTATTATTAAAAAATAAGAATAAATAAACTTTTAATTCCTATAAACTTTTTATATATAATTTAGTCAGATAAATAATTTATATATCAATTTTTATACGAGTGTTTAATTTTATATAGAGACTGATATGAAAATATTATTATAATGATAAAAATAAAATAAATTTTTTTATAAAGATCTATATATAAATTTTTTTTATCTGTAAAAGCTAAATTACAAAAGAAATATTATATAAAAATTAAAGACAATTGAAACTTGTCATATTACATAATTCTTTGTTAATTAAAAGAGAAAACTAAGGTGTTATAATATATCGTAATAATAAAAATGAAATTAAAAATAATTTTTATATAAAAATTGATATATATATATATATATATATATATTATTTATAAAGACTAAATTAAAAAAAAGTCTGGTATAAGAATAAAAGATTCATTTATTTCTAAAAATATAAAAAGGATACACATCTCATAATATTTAATTTATTTTAAAGCATAATTTTAAATTTCTTAATCAATAGCTTTATTGGGAAGAAACGGTGGAGCTGATGGAGGATTGGAGTAGTATAATTTGGAAATGGAAATATATAATATTTAGATTCTGGTTTGATGCATTGTAGGTGTAGTGTGAATCAGAAAGCTCACAAAACAACAGATAGATGGCTTTGGATGGTTGACTCTTCCAACATCTATGTAGTTATATCAGCTTATACCCGTTTACAGTCACAAGAATCTCAAACGAACATGCATGTTGATTATACTTGTTCCTAATCTTGCTACTTCATTTATATTTATTTGGATTTGAAGAATTCTTTGTCCTTCACGAAAAAAAAATTTCTTTGACTTATAAACAAGCACTGTTCTCTATAGAAATAAAGCTACTCTTATTAAAAACGAAAAACATATTTTTACTCTTACAAGTAAAAATCAATGTTATATAAACATATATATATATATATATATATATATATATATATATTATTTTTATGGTATTTTAATTTTGAGTGATTTTTCTAAATAAGAAATGATGAGATAATTAATAAGAAATCGCTACATTATAATTTGTGTCACATGTTAATTTTGATTGGGTCATGTTAAAAAAATGATCAAATGTGATGAATTTTAAAAAAAATAATAAACTAAAACCATTTTTTAGAAATTAAAATTTTATATATAAAAAAGATTCTGACAGAATATATTGACTCCTTTTAAAAAAATAAAACTATATCAAAACGTTGCAACTTCTTAAAACGAATATTGCTAGTGAGTTATTTTCTTTTGTCCGGTAGACAAACCCATTAAATATATAACTAAATTTTCAAGATATCTTTATGGAGGGAAAAAAAAGTAGTGGACACCACTAATTTAAGGCAAGCTAACACACAAACTTGATAATATAGATTACCAACGATAATTATGAAGCAAGACATGTGTTGCATTTACAGATCAGCATTGATCAAACCCATTTAAAATTGTCACATATTTTTTTGTGGAGAATTATTGAAAGAGAGATGTGGAAGTGGGAAAACCACATCTTTTGCTTTGCAGAGAATAAAAGGGCGCCCGGGGGAAGAAGGGAGAATAGCGTAGAAAGATTGGGTATATATATAAGAAGATATTTTGATTATATGCTTTCAACTTGTGTTACTACTTTGGGTGACCATTAAGGACAAGGTGTTACTAAACCAAAGACCTAGAAATGCCAATCTATGACACGGATACATATATGTATTTTATAAGGTAATTGATTGTCATTGTCTATCTGCTTCAGTTCACTAGCCACCTATAATGGCCGCTACAATTATTTCCCTACTGGAAAACACTTGTTAAATACTTTTAGATAAATTAGTCAATTAAGGTGAGGAATTTTTACCCAAAGAAAAGAGAAAGAAGAGAAATCCATTTACTAACAGTTTATGAGTTTCTATTAAAAAATGTATCATATATAATATATTAACAATGTATTGGTAATATATTTTTATATTAGCATTGTTAATTATTTAGTAATATAATACACGATGTCTACATTAAATAGGATAAACTTATTATTATTTGTAAACAATTGTGAGCATTCTGATAATAGATATGCTCATATTGAAAAGCAAACACATTTGTGCAGAGAAAACCTATAAATTAAGCAATCGATGGGTATGGGACAAATAAAATTCAAAATAACGGGCAATATCTTTTTCCCATAATTTGAGTAGTATTTTGTGAAAAGTATATCCTCATTCATCAAATTAAATAAAGATATATTTATGCATGTCGATAGAAAAATCATGACTTTATTGAATTCGGGTATAAGATGAAGCCTCTCTCGTGGCAAAGGGGTCAAGTTTCCATCAAGTATATTGTGAGCAAGAACAAATGAATCGAAATAATGCACACAATATATATGTTTAATAAAAAAGAGGGTGAAAAAGACAGGCATTTTGGAAGGAGGAACGACATTAGAATCTCTTTCTACCATTGATAGGTTCCATCATCTTCACCAGCAAAGGTTAGTTCTCCAAATTATCCCTCGCCTCGAGGCAACAAGACAAAGGAGTTTATTTCTTTACCTTTTGGATATCGATCAGGAAGACATTAATTTGGGCTTCTGCAGGTGAATCACGACTAGCTAAAACTCAGATATAGCACAGTATCTTAATGAGTAGTCACTTCCTTACTTTTCATATCCAAAATAAGTTAATGCTAGGCGAGCCCATCTTAGGTTTTTCGGTTATTATATAAGAACATGTATTAAATCTTCTTTAGTATGCAAGTTTTCCTACTATCAAAGCATAAACAAGTGGATGTAAAGGATCTTGTTAATCAACATTTTAAAGACACCGATTAAAAACTTAATAAATATTTTTTTTTATAAAAAGAAGTAAGTTACAAATGTATCATAAATTATAATTCAATGTATTACTAACACTTTTTTTATAGAAAAAAAATACTTCCAAGTTATTAATCAATGACCTCTGAAGCACTCATTAACATTTCTCGCATATAGAATAGTATGCATGTAATGGCCAACGATAACTAGACACTATATTATTAGTGTATTATTAAATGATCACAATTTCAACTCAAATGTCAAATCCCCACAACTTTGGTAATTTAATTCCTTTCTCCTATGGTATTTCGGTACGGATTTCTCGTTAGAGAAAATAACTTGCAAAACTTTTAGTCAAATGTTTATAATATGGCTGAGAAGCAAGAGAGTAGGAACAAGAATGGAAGGAACTAATAATTGTCATGTGCTAATATCCTTTAAAGGGCAGGAGTAAGATTTTGGGTGAGAGTGACTTCGTAAGAACAAGAGCTAGTCCTATTACGGCATAAGTGTACTTGAGTTCTCAGTTGTTTGCTTTCTTCCAACAAAATATTTTGTAAATGCGTATATTGGAAGTATTACTGCCATTTTATGCTAAGCGTGTAGTAAAACTTCTACTTAAAAAACAATCATGTTAATTTCACAGTTTATGAGCAAATATTTGTAATATATTGAAGCTTTATTTCTTAGCAATCTAATTTAGACTAGGCATTTGAGAACGTGTATTACTAACATAAATATTGTTGGATCAGTGTTAGATGCGGAGGTATAATCAGTACCATGTGAGAAACGAGAAATTTTCATATTTAACTACAAAATTGTACATATATTATATTTGATTATACTCATGTAATTTTAACTATTTAAATATGATTATATAGTTAAGATACAGTGTTCTTATTTCCCATCTCACCTAAAATTCTCTATTTCTTTACATACACACATATATAAATTATTTTTTATAAATAATAAATTTTTATCAAACCAATTATTAAATTATGAAATATTATTTTAATGATTATATATATTAAAAAAAAATAATTTAAACATTTGTAGATAAGTAATAATAACTTGTAAAAATTTACTAATTATATATATGATAAAATAAAATAGTGTAATAAAGTCTAAATTGAATTTTAAAATATTTTATACCTTTAATTTATTTTATGAGAAAATTTAGTTTATTTGTTGAATTGATAAAATTAATCATGTATTAAAAGTCAATTAAGGTATACTTGGAAAGACTTATATCTATTGCCAATTAATAGAATTTGTGTGAGAGTAAGATAACCAAATTTTATCATGAATGATTAAAAATAAAGCATAAAAATAATATAATAATTTTAAAAAAATCATATAACTCTAAAATAATATAAATTTTTTCATATAAAACACTTTCCCTTTAACTTCAATTTTTATAGTTTCAATCACACATTAATATTAGAAATGCTGAGCATTAAATTTTCAAGCAATAATAGGTTTTATTTGGAACGATGTTTTTAAAGTAACGTGTGTTTAAGACCCTGGATGTATAACATACGTTCAAGAAGGAAATATAGATTAATCTCCAAGAATCTTCCGTAACCAACATCCGATGAATTTAGACACAACATATGGTAATAATTAAAGAAATGATTAGTAATATAATATGGTTTTAGCTGTAAGTTTTCATTTTTGTTTTGTCTAAAGGAGACCTAAAAAGGGCAAGGGGGACAAGAAGAGGATTACATGGAAGGTGATAGTGCCAATTTTTTAACTTGACATGTGTAGTCACACTCATTGTTGCATTCATGCAAGACAACCAATCAATTTGTCCACAGCCACATGATTTTTATTAGAATAATAAAGCCCAAAACAAATAGCCAATGAATCGCTCCAAAGGACTACAAAATGTTAGAAGGAATAGAACATAATATATTAGGTGGGAGCAGAAGAGAAGGGACAGCCCTATATCATCTCTTAACTAACGAATATGCATCCGAAGGAAGAGAAATTCAAACAAACCTTCGAAAAATTAAATCAGGAAAAAAAAAAACACAAGAAACCCCCCACATCACAGGAAGATGGTAAACAAAATGTAAATAATTGGGGGTTATGAGAAAAGTGGGGGTGGGACAAGATAATTTGAAATTGCAAAGGGATCACAATAAATAGGCCGTGATATTAGCTACGGATCAGTAAATACAAATTAAGGAGTTGACAGGTGAAGGAGGATTTGAAAAGATTGACCTGCGTCTCCTCCATGCACCCTTTCGTTCACAGAAAAAAAAATATAAAATAAAATTAAACCGATTAGATTCGCCCTGTCTCTTATCCCAATCTCCCATGAAACCGCACTTCAAATGGTGACCATTTCAAAGGCCTAAAAACAAATCCCAGAAAGAAAAATGGAAAAACCCAACAAAATACTAGAGACCCAAAACAGAAAATTCAGAAGTGCAGTGAATACCAGTCTATTTCAACTGACAAAAGAAGAGTCTTCTTTTCTTATGCTTCAAATTCACCCACCCATCCGATAGTGTCCATTATCAAGCATCCTTCACGAGCAATTAACCTCCCTCTCCTTCTCCTTAAAATTTTCCATTTCCCATCACTCAAGGCAATTGAAACAAGTTTAAATTATAAATCAGTAATATCTATATGAAAGTTTTGGGGAAGCTAGCTAGACTAGAAGTCATGAGAGTGGTGGTACATGGTTGGGTTCAAGGCTTCTCTGTCATCATCAGCACCGTCCAACCTGGAACTCATTTGAGCCGAACCCACCGTGGCACCCAGGTTGAGATACACCAACCTGGAATCCAAGTTGAGGTTACCAATGTTGTTGTTGTTGCCACTGCTACTACTGCTATTGTGCTCCTCGTTCATGGGAGGAGGGTATATGGGCGTTGTAGAAGTAGGAACATTGTTGTTGTTGGCATTGCCTTCTTCACGTGACATGACTAGAGCAGCGGATTGAACAAGCTCCAAGCACAACCTAAGCTTGTTGGGTTCGATGTGGGTTAGTCCAGGGACAGCACCTTTGAAGAGGAAATCCGAGGTTAGGGTTCTGAGGATGTCCAAAGGGGTAACACCGTCCACTGTTCGGACATTGGGGTCGGCGTGATGGTCAAGCAGCACCGCCACCATATCCGGCGACACCATCTCCGCCGCAATGTGAAGTGGGGTTTTTCCGTTGGGTCCAGCGGGGTAGTTAACATCAGCTGCACCAAGTTCTAGCAACGCTTTCACCACTTCTCTGCTGCAATTCTCAACCGCATAGGGTAGGGCCAATGCTTCGTCGAGGTTGAGGCCTTCCCCCATTAGCATGAGTTTTACCAGTTCGACATCGGAGGAGTCCAAGGCTCTTCTCATTCGACGGATTTTTTGATCTTCGAGGTCGGCGGCGGCGCCGAGGTCGTGGTGGTGGTAGTGGGAGTGGTGGTGGTGGTGTGAGTGATGGTGGGGCATTAAGGAGCGGCGTGCTAGGGAGGATTTGAGACGAAGCTCTTCGATCTTTGCGACAATGTCTATTGGGAGGTGCTTGGCGAGAACCTCAGGGGGAAGACCTGACTTTGCTACGAGGTGAGAACAAGTGGTCCACAGTTGCTGCATGTCTTGCTTTCTCGACGCTAGCAGCACTTTCATTACATCCTCGATTGAAGCCTTCTCCACCATGCTCGCTAGTTGTTTCTAACAAACAAAAAATATCAAAATGTGTTAAGAGTGAGAATCGGAATTTGCATTGCATTGCAAACATGCTTATAATGTAAGGCGAGTAGTCCGATGGTTCTCTTTTATATATTTAATTTGGCGGAAGAAAATGAAATAATAAAAGGGGATGGGATGTTTGGGAAATGAAAGGAGGCTTTTTGTTTTGCGGTGGTTTGTTCTCTTTTCGAGTCCGAACCCAAATGAGGAAAGTGAATGTTTGGGAAAAATTTCGTCCGTCTACTGTGTTGAAGACAAGACTGCATATCATCGTCTAAATTTAGAAATTCCTGCGAGTGCATCGTAGAGGGTAGAAGAACGCCAATTCGAGAAACTGTCTCTATGATTTAGACTACATGAAATCAAGTAGGTCAAACACTACATAATTGATACCCTCACGAATCCAAAAGAAATAGTAGCAATAAGAAGCAAGCGAGGAAGGCAGTGAAAGTAATAATATTGCGGTTAGAATAGAATTTGAGGAGCTGAAGGAAAAAGAAATTAATGTGAGAGAGAGAGAGAGAGAATGAGGCATTCAGTGGCTGACAAGAGAGAGCAGAAGAGCGGTGACGCGAGATCATAGAATAGAAGGAAGTGGTGATGGGATAGATGGAAAAACAAATTCAGAACCCAAATCTAACCCACACATGACTCGGAATTAATGAATTTCAATTAAAATATATATACACCCCTTCCCACTTCCCAAAAACCTTGCAGTAATTGTCCAAATTCCCAAGACCCACAAAACATACCACTGCTCACACTCATCCCATAAACGGAAGCAAAGCAAGAGAGAGAGTGAAAAAAACAGTGGGTTGGTGATGGTGCCGATAGGGTGATGCTACTCGTACGGGTAACAACAAAGAAATTAGTTAGAAATGAAAAACCTGAGTGAGCGATGCGAGCTGTTCAACGCCAAAGTATCTAGCGGCAGCGAGGGTGTCGAGTGCGAGATCAACGGCTGAGGTGCAATGCGTGTGCCAGCAGCCTCGCTCCCCGCAATTAGGCCTTGCCTCGTGCTTCTGGGGAACGATACAGACTTGTCCACTGTAGAGGAACTGCAACATGAGCAAGAACACCTCGTAGCCCACCGAGTTAACAGGGATGACCCCGGACCTCGACGCGCCCGAGTTCACACGGGGCCCAGCCGGGTCCAGCCCAGATGGGGGGTCCGGCCCACAGAAGAATTTCCTGAAGAAGAGGCTTCTGGCCGCGAGTATGCAGCGGTGCGCGTGGACCAAACGTCCCTCCACGCTGAAAGTGACGTCGCTGAAGGCTTGGCCGTTGATGAGAAGGTTGAGGTAGTCCCGGGATAGAGTTCCTAGAGACTCTTCAAGGGACATGGTGCTCTCCTGTGTTCTACTGTTACCTCTCTATACCCTTTGCTGTTCCTCCTCTACTGTGCTGTCTCCTCAACACTTTAGGGTTGTTGGTTATAACTGATTCCTGGCTATGACAATAACTCCAAGGAGAGAGAGAGTTAGAAGAGATGAAATAGTGGTGAGGAGGAGGAGGAGGAGGAGGAGGAGGAGGAGCCAAGGAAGGAGGCTATTGGATTAATCTGTTTTTGACGTTTTTTGTGTTGTTGTTGTTGATGATGGTACTGTGGTTGTTTTTATGGGATTCTCTGGGTGAACGGTGAATGGAGGGGCATGACTGTTAGGATGAGAAATTTTGTGTAATTTGTTAGATATTTTTTGAGAGAGAGTGGGAGAAGAGAGAGAAACAAAGATTGCAATTTGGGTGGCTATTCTGGGCGGCTGGGGGTTTTAAAAAGGGTAAATTATTAAATAAAATATGTTTTTAATTTCTGCTTCTTCCTTTTTATATGCTTTGTTGTCTACACAGAATACAGATACAGAGTACTGAGAGTAGAGTAGAAGCATATAGTGTAACAGAGATAATAAAAATAATATTAAAAAAGAAAGAAAGTAGAAGCATGTAAGAGAAAGATTGAAAACGATGTGTGGATAAAGAAAACAAGAGTTCAGACTTTGCTTGTATACATGCTTAACGATCTAAACAAAGCAATTGATCCAACTCTCTATAAATAGACAAATTTACATAATATAATACCAGTCTTTGGGGGCCTAATGTGTTGACTGTGCACTTGTACGTGGTCTCCGCATTTTTTGATGTATACACACGTTTGTTTCCTTAGTTACATATTAATGAGCTGTTTTTCTTTTTTCTTATAATTATTATTTTTACATATTTAGTTAAAGAATTGGTTAGCAGTGGCTTTTCGCATAAAACGAGAGCATATCAATAATTAATAGTATTAACAGTCTAAGTCGTACTTTCAATCAACGTAACTCAATTACTTGAATTAATATAAGTACAATTTTATTCACTAGTTAACCTGAATGCTTGACCAACCTAAATTCATTAAATCCTTGCCACCATGTTTTTCACATCGACTAATATTTTTTCACCGTTAACATTTTCGTATGATTTTACTTGTATCATACCATATGATAGACATATGAAAATATGTTTTAGGTTTTTTATTTTTTATTTAAAATTAGCATCGTTGTTCTGTATTAATGATAAAATATTCTTCTAATATGTCACTGTAAAGCGGTTACAAATTAAAAATTAAAATTTATTGATCTTTCTTTTTGTGAAGTATCCTATCGATTATTATTTGTAAATAACTAAACTTACACGCATGTGTGTCACAGATTATCATTAGTTCAAATAAATAAACGCGATCTCTGCCTAAGCCTTTATTAATATTGGTGAAAAAATTAAATGATATAAGAGACTGCAATTTTTTCAAAATAAAAAACTGTCGTCCACATGTAAGCAGAAAAGGAAATGGTTTTGCGACTAATCTCATACATAACTTTATATGATTAACCTTTTCTATTTGAACTCAACAGAACTGTTTTGAGTTCTTTGATTTTTCATAGCTTTTGAATTTCCACTAAAAGTGTGATTTTGCAATACTTGATTTTTTAATTAGTCTGAAATGTTGATGAACTTATCTAAAATAATAAATAATATAACAGGGAATTAAATAATAATTTTAATAAAATTGAGAACATTAAATTTACTTATTAATTACTTTATAAAATTTATATAGTGATGGATAAAAATATATATTTCAAAGCTTATTTTAAAATTTAAAAAAACTTAAAAATTAATATAATGGAATATTTAATTTTAAATGGAAAATTTTAAATATTTATTATTTTATGTTTAAGCACCTAGGATGCTTTGAGAAAAGTACCAGTCCTTTTTGCAAGATAAGACACTCTTTTTAATATATTCTCAATTATTGGTTAAAATTTATTAAAAATTATAAAAATATTAATGAAGGTAATTAATTAAGGAGTAAAAATTATTATTAATAAAAAATAGTTGTTATAAATTTATAGTGAATGTATAAAAAAAATTTATAGTACAGTAAAAAAAAATATTCATACTAATAATTGGTTAAATTGGTAACCCATGTTTTAATTGAATTTTAATATAAATATGATAATAACTAAATTATAAAAATTTAACAATAAATGCATCTAAAAATAAGCTTTTTCTTTTTATATCTTGAAAAAAATAGTGATTGTTTCTTATGAACAAGAAAAGAAAATAAATTTTAATTAATAACTAAAAAAATTAAAAAATTTATTAATATTTTTCTGCCTACGACGATAAACAAAATCAATATATTGCTATTTGAGTTTATTGGTTACATAAAATAAATACATAGCAAAGCTACAAACGGAAATGCACTTCAAGATTTTAACAATTAACTAACAGAACAATGTATATATATATTTTCCCTAATCAGAACAATATATTTTATATCTTTTAATTAGTTTTTATTACATGTAATATGTATATTTAAGGTTTATTACTCAGTCTAGAAAATAAAATAAAAAGGAAAAAGTTAATGCAATCTTAATTGGTTTTTTTACTACGTTTTATTGAGCTTTTAAATTTTGAATTAAATTAATTAAATGATAATATAACTATATTAAAAATTAAAATCTATGAAAAATAAAACAATTTTTTAATAACTATAAATAAAATTTAACTATATTGTTGCTGAGATGTAAATAGGTTACGTTGTTGTTCGACTGAAATTTATGTTTTAACCTTTTTAAAGTTTAGTTTTATTTTATTTAAATTTAAATTTTTTAAAATATTTTATTAATTGAATAGATTATATGTGAATTTAAAAAAATCTATTAAATTTATTAGAATGATATATTTAAAACTCATAAAATTTATAATAATATATTAAATATTTTTATATCAAAATTATAATATAATATTACATTAAATAAATTAAATTTTAAAATAAATAAAATCTTAAATATAAACTTTAATTTTTTTTATGGAGTTACAGAGGGTTCTCATTATTTATCCTCTAAAAAAAAGAGTTCAACTTGTTAAAATATTTTGTATTACTGTTTGATTTATTACTCGTGGCGTCTTGATTACGTATTTTAATAAAATAAATATGTGATTTTATTGCATGTATTTCAAGTGTTAAACTATTTTTTTGTAATTTATTTAAATATGAATATTATTTTTTTATAAAGACATATTTATTTAAATAATTTAATAATTTTTTTTACAAAAAAGTTTAATAACTTAAAAAATTTTCAATACAAAGTAGGATATTAAAATACTAAAAGCCAAAGTAGTCTTTAAAAAAAATTAATAACAAATTTTATAATAAATAGATCTATCTTAAATTTTAAAATTATTAAATAGATTAAAAATATTTATTTCTAATTTAACTTAACTTACTTTCATTCTTAATTGTTACTATTTTATGAAATACAGTGAATATTATTAACTTCAGTTTTAAATAGAAAAATTAAAGTATATTGAAAAGTTATTGAAATATTCATTATAAGCTTTATAAGGAAAAGAAGAGAAGAAATAGATGAATGAAAAAAAAAAAAAAAGGCGTAATGCGAGAGAATAAAACAACAAAAACAAGAAAATAAGTATCTTACAATGTAACTAATTAAGCTTTTAAAAAAAAATAAAAAACAAAACTTTGAATGATTGAATTGAGAAAACAGTCTCAATAAAATTGATAATAAATATATCTTTTATAATATGCATGGATTGAATATAAGAATATTATAAATATTTTATTTTATTTATTATAAAAATTAAAGATTTTTATTTATATAATCATCTATGATTAAGTATAATACAATACTGTTTGTGTATTTAAATTAATTTTTGTTTTGATAAGTTTAATATAACAATTGATTATATGATTATATTCATTGCATATTTAAATATGTCAACTGTAAATATTTTAAAATTACTATATTTTTATTTTTTAAATAAAAAATCACCTTTACACGATAAAGTACTAAAAAGTGTATGGAATGATTTTTGTTTTGACCAAACGATATCTGATATATTTTAGGGTTAATTTGGTAAAATGTCAAATTTGGGAAAAAGAATTATCAACCTGGATCAAGAACTATGTTTTTTGAATTTTTTTTATTGTAAAATAAATAAAATGCTGATTAATGTAATTAATTTTACAAACAAACACTGAGATAATGGGTTTCATTGGTCCATTCCAGAATTAATTACGTATAAACTATAAATTAGCAGTTGCATATTTAAATATGGAAATAGATAAAGCGTCCGAATCAGTGTCCTTGAAAGACTGAATTATTCTTAAAATAGGAAATAGGAAAAAAGTGTATATAAGTTAATCATTATTCGTTTTATTAAAAATAGTAATAATTAAAATGTTTTTATAAAGTATTTTGGACATTGGTTAATAAAATCCTATGAATAAATGTATTAAAAATATTATTAACATATTTTGAATAAAACATTGAGTATATTTAGATTTTTGAATTAAAATGCTAAAATAATAGTATAATAATGTAAGTAGAAGAGTGGAGCTTGAAAGCATGGGAAAGCGTGTCGGCCGGGTTTAATTAACCGGTTCGGACATGTTTCATCCATCGGGAATCGTTCCTAAATACCGACACACATTTACGTCTAACTGTAACTGTTTATTAACTAATTCTTCCTTTCATTATGATATTTGTTTCTATATCCAAGGTAGACAAGAGGCAGTGCACGTGACAAGAGTGATGCTGTTATTATTCTCTTTTTTTTGTTATTACAATCGCTTGTGTAAGCTCCAATTAATTGATAATTGCATTTGTTTAAAAGAGTCGATGCTGTTGTTTTGCCTTCTCTGCCTATGCTCCTTGCCCTTTTCGATATTTAAATTGAAATTAAGAACCATTGGAATTAATTTAAATTTAGAAAGAAAAAAAAAAAGCAGAAGGAAAGAAAAAATCGCATGGATTGACAGCACAGCCCACTGACTGTCTTATGATTTCAAAGACTCCCGATTTGACATTTGACTTGTCTTTTCACTCTCTCTCTGTATCTGCAAACTGAATACACGGTTGCACAACATTTCAATTTTTAGCAGCTTTTGCTTTTCTATAAGTACATTATTTGCCAAGAATTTTAACCAAACAATGTTTTGTTTGAAATCTCAAAAACTATATATATAAAATTACCAAGGAAAACATATTTTAATGTTTTTTTTGGTATAGCATAAAAATAAGAGAGAGAACACGTACTCGTATACAAGACTTATATTTACTTATATATTTTTTCTATGTTGCCAAAAATTATAATTAAAGAAATAGATTGTTTATTTTGTGGAGTATTTTTCAGTTAAAAATATAAATTAATAAATATAATATCAATTCTTTAACATCAAAAAATA